GTGTCTTTCAGGTGAACAACAGCCACTGACCGACAAGAACAAAACCGACCAGGGAAACTTGGGCAAAAGCCTCGATTCTGTGTATCAATCCGTGAAATCCGTGAATCTATCCTAAACCGTCTTAGCCGTAGTTGTTCGGGGCCTAGGTGTTGACAGCGGGATCGGTAAGAAGAGTTTTGGACTCCGGTGACATTCTTTTCGTGAATCAGCGTCGGGCACATTCATGTGCTTGTCTACTAATTTGGGTATAAACGAAAGAAAATGCGGGAAATACTTCCAAGATTGGACGTACGTATACTTTAAAAATAGCGACCATTCAGTTTCATAGTTGAAGGGGTGCAATTTTAAAAAGCCAAGAACACGTGCTTGGGCAACTTGGAACCGAAAATGGTAGGAAAATCCGGATGTTCAAGAATACCTGAGACCAAGATCTTTGATCACTCTGGAGTGGGTGATACGATTCCGACCACATATGAACGCATCAACCGGGAGAGAGAAGCTGCACGAAGTTGTTCGGGATCATGCAGAAGAGAATCTTAGGCCATATCCATCTGACCAGTGAGTCTAGGTCATGCTGAATCTAGCGCAGAGGGACTAGATGTTCGCACGAATTTTTTTATTTCTGTGGAGAAAAAGACTTTCAATGGGACACGGCACCAAAGACGACGTTGATTTACACTATTATGAGGAAGGGGGCCTAACACACTTCTCTGTATCGCTCCAATAGCGGAGTTGATTGCTTATCTCCATTTTTTGTTAGTTGCGTCCTCTTGGTTAGGTAGTAGGCGAACCACTGAAGTAGGTTCCCTGCGATGCTGACAGTATTATGTTTATGTAGTAGTAATATATGAGTGACCTGGTCGGAAGCTTTTTGGATATCTAAGTAAACTGTTACAGTAAGTGCCCAGTGTCGTAAGATACCGTAATGGCGTCAAAGAAGTAAAGCCGGCAACCGCTGACTAATCGCTGAGATATTTATTCGTACTTTTGGTCATCTATGGCATTTGTGGTCAGGAAAACCTTAGTGATCGAGCCTTTGATTAAGTGTCCAAGGATTCTCATAAGGAAGGGGCTTCCAGGATTCTCTTGTAGTTAAGGAGAGCTTCCCGTTATCTGTTTTGAAATGCGGGTGGATCATTGACTACCTCCGCTATGAGGGGGAAGATTCCATAGTTTTTAGAGTGGGTGAAATGATTTAGGGCAATGATTCCGACATCTTGACCGCCTTGACTCGGAACGCGGGATTCTGGCACAAAAGAGTTCTTAGTCTTACGAACAAGGGAAGAAGCGTCAGCTATGTAGATGATTGCGCCACTGAGAAAGTTGCGGTTATCTGACCGTCAAGATTTTGTAGATATGCAGCAGTAGGTATGAGTTTGTAGTTGGGAGGAATGGGTAAGTCGCAGCTGACGGGGTAAGCGTTCAGATGATCTACTATATTGATGGTATCAGTGATGACGCCACCATCTGCGAAACTCAATCAAGCAGTTGTTTGGGCTATAACGCCTACGGGACAATCAGCTGGGTAATTCGGAACAGAAAATCGCTCTAAAGACGCAGTTTTCTTCTAGGCGCTCGAGAGATACCTGCAAGGATTCTCGGTCAGTATATAGTTTATTGATGGGAAGTACCAACGAGAAATCCTGGGATTTCCGATATTCTCCACCAGCCCGGTGTACTTTGGCATCCAAGGTCTTTGATGACTTATTGTGGCCTCAGATAGTGGAATGAAGACGTTTTACCGGAGAATCAAGATATACGTGTCAGGAGGAAGAGGTCGTCCCGATCCCGAAGCCAGCGTGTACGAAAAAGCTTGTAAACTACCCAGAGAGATGAAACAGAGATGCACTCAGAGGATCAGTTTGGCCATAACAGATTGCGTTGCCGAAAGAGACGCAGTGATCAATTCCTGGGAAGCGTGGACCAACTGTGGCTGTACCCATATAGCAACCGTTGGAGAATTTTAGGTCAAGAGCGTGTAGCTCAATGGGGAAGTTACGTAAAATTTGGAAACACTTCTCCACACCAAGTCGGGCAGGCTGCGCGGCGCAACGGGTGGGGCCCGTAGTGGGAGACCAGAAAGTATCCGGCAGGTTCGAGTCACCCAGCAGAAATTTAGACGAATGAGGTAAGGCACGTGCAGCGGAGATAGTATGTCACTTGTCTGCAACATAGACGGTGGAAAGGGCGGTGGTAAATAGATACAACTCACTATTACAGGTCGTTTGGTCTATTCTGTAGATGTCCAGATGGTCTTTGGAATCCCTTTCAGGGAAGAATCATCATAGGGGTTGCACGAATCTCTGATTTAAAAAAGCTGGTATTGTCGCCGCCCCTTGATTTTTTCCTATCAGACTGGTGAATATCATAGTCAGGGAGTGAGATGGCCATGTGGGCAGTTTCATCTGTGGGCCGGGATTCAGTCAAGCAGTCGTGCAGTATAGCAATTGCTCGGAGATTATGAATTTCGGGAAATAAAGAGCGGACATTGAACAACATTAGTGTCAAGCTCACTGGTGAAAAAACGGCACTAAGTAGTAACTTCGTTACCTCACTCACGGTGGAGTTTAGCACTAAGAGGACTTAGTACCAGGAAGTATGGTAATATGAAGCACGGCTCGGAGTCCGGGGAGGGGTAATAATATTTCTTTCCAACTTGTGAGTGACATACAGTTAGGATTGCCCATAATGTTACAGTCGGAATAAAAGAACGACTGCGGGGTTACTTGGCAGAGGATGGGTTTAGGAAAAGGAACAGCGTCATAAGTGGTGGGGATTATCCGATGTAGGCGTTGCCACCTCCAAACCGGCACTGGCAGGGAAGCACGGTTGATATGCGTTTCTGGAGAGAACATCAAGCACGATCGGATAGTGAGGAGTTGAGGGTGGCGGGCAAAAACCAAGCAAAGTAGGGCAAAATAAGAGGCTTTCTGCCTGTCACATGACGGGAAAAGTGTAAAAGGTGAAAAATGAGGCATCAAAACCTCAGATCTGATGGTCAGAGATACAAAAAGCGTAAGTAGTGATGACGAAGCGAAGGGATTAGCAGAGTAGATAAGTGATAACTGGAATCCCAGAACATGGTGTACAGTGAATCTCTGGGGGCTCACTGGTAGCGCTGTCGTGGAGTCGGGCATAATAGTTAATTGGAAGGATGAGATGATGGCAACACACGGGCTGGAACACAAAATGTATAAGATTCTTCATTTGTCACCAGCCACCACCATTGCCATCTGCCGAACCTGATGTCGGATATAAAGATTTCGGTGAAATTTTATTCGCACTCCTCACCGAGTCAGTCAATTTTCGTAGTCTCTGTAAACTCGTTTTCCCAAGTAACTTTAACACTCGACTTTGCTCCGGCAGAAACACTAGTGAGTCGCTCAGGTTTCACTGAACACCGTGACTCTGAGTTTCCCACTGCCATATTCTGTACTGCATATTACCCCACTTCATCAACCCCACTTACTCTTTCCGCGACCGTAAGCCCAACGGCCCAAGGCCATGGAGCCCAAGCGACGGTTTTTGGGCCTTAGTTTGAATTGGCCGGCCACATCGTGGCAGTTCTGCTACCTCTCCAGATCCATCATTCTGGCTGCACACTTCCTGCAGTTTGAAGTTTATTTGTTTTTTGTCAGGTTCCAAGCGGGAGGCTTTATGTCATGCCCTCATTCGTATTGCTTTTGCCCGACACTTTTAAATCCCAATAATCAGATCTTGCGTCAGCTGATATGTTCCCCATAGGAGATAGAGAGGACCCATGCTACTTCAGCTGTTATGAAGTCTACTTCGCTAGTTCCCACTGTTTACGTCACCGTCCCTTTTCCAGGAAGTTCCCATTAATTACCACCCCCCATAAGTCATGCTTTTATTCTGACTGCAATATTATGATCATGCCTGACGGTACGCTACCCACTATTTGAGAATAAATATTATTATTATTCATTTTGCGAGGAGCACAGACACACGAAAATGCTTAAATTCGAACCAAAAGTTCGGCATATAGGAATGAACATCTCATGGAGGCAGCTGGTGTCAGGTTGGAAGCCTCTTCGTGTTTGCAGTCAACGCAGCGAGGGGGCTGGAGGATACGGTCAAGAGAAGGAAGGAAATACTTGTGGGTGTGCCATCAAGCTGGATATGGCAGTGCCCTAACATCACTAGACTGACATGCACCGGTTTTTGAACAGCCCTGTAAGGGACGTTACATTTGATGTCATTGGATAGGGATGTGCGACTCTTTGATCAGCGGGGTTCTTTTCGAGCTGGCCAAGAAAACAAGGTAGAATGAAGGTGATACAAGATTGTAGGTTTCTTTGGTCTGTCTGGGGTTCCTGTGGATGTAGATTATGGGCCAGGTGGAGCGGATAACAGTCAATCGGGTTGTCCAAACCTGGCATTGCCGAAATTCAAAGCTTTGGAAGATTAGGTGATGGGGTGAGATTAGTAAAGCATGGTGAGTTTGAGGAGACATCAAACGGGATAATGTGCGTTAATATATGGTGAGAGAGAGAGAAGGTCCACCGCGGTTGCGGCGATGACAACAGTGGATTATGTGAGATAGCATAGTATTCAATACTGCTGGAAGATGGGTAAATAGTTGGTGAAATAGATCTGAGCCCATGGCAGGATACACTGTATCAGGCTCAGTATAAGGTACGAAATGATATATGGAGGAGAGCCTGCAGTTGAAAGAGGATTTGTTGCCATGTCTTCTGCATTGTCATGTGTGGAGGGTGGTATGGTGCAAAAGGGTGTGGTGGTTGTGCGGGGATGGATGGATGTCGAAAATGTTGTTTAGGTCCGACTAATGTTGGTGAATTTGGTAGCGGAAACGGATGGATGTCGGGGCTGCTTATCGGTCGGCGTGCATACGAGTTTCTTCCAGTACAGGATATGCTTAGTTTGATGTGCTTTTTAAAGGTCGTAAATGTGGAGCTATGTGTGTCTTCGGAGAGGGCCGGGTAAGTAGCTGTGTGGGAAGCTGCCAAATAGAGATCTCAGGTAGGTAGCATGCGGGTGACCATGGGCAGAGATTGATAATGCCTGAAGTTAGGGAACGGTTTTCGTAGTTTAGAGGCATTGTCAAAGATAGGATAGCACAAAGTGAAGGCCTGCAATTCCGAGGGGCATTCGAATCCGTTGAACTGCTTGTTCTCTTCAACACGCTTGTCCATCAAGGACTATCCGGGAAGATTATGTAAACAATAAATTGGTTGTGTTCACAAACTTCCACACAGAGTAGCACCAAAATCATTTTGCGGGAGCGCTCATAAGCTGTCTCCTCTCGGAAATTGTTGCTATGTGTCATGGTTCTTCGCCCGTCATCAACAAAGTTGGCGGAAGTTTTACCTTTACAAATCCCCTAAAGTTCAAATTAGGCTTATGATGGAAACGTTTTTGGATACCAATGACGAATCTAAGAATATTGGTGTGGTTTGTTGTAAGTCATGCTAGTCTCCTGAAGGAAAATTTGAAAGCGAAATCGTCAAAAATTGTGCTGTATCTATGACCACACTATGCACGAGCCTATGCAGACACATCAGAAGAAATGCTTTATAAATATAATTCGCAAAAGATGATTCCTTTTAAACGTTTTCAGTATCGATTTCCCTATACATTATTTTTTCGACTGCTGTTCATGCGAAGTGCGAATAACTTCTAGTCTGCATCCGGTAGAGTCAATAAGGATGCGCAAATATTTCGGGAACGATCACACGGAAAACACCAATCCAGTCTCTTGTATTCAAGCCTCATAGCAGCTCCTCCATTGCGTCCGCCATCGGTGGAGCACCGTTCCATTTTGTCAAGAACCCTACTGATATAAGATGCTTTGTTATCAAAGAACGTGAGGCGTTCTTCGAGGTATTTTATCTGCCACTTTTTAGGAAAGAGTAAGAAATACATTGCAAGTTGCCTTACGTTCAAATTGGCAACAGATAGCATACATATCATCGCTCACTTCGACAAGCCTCCATTTAGGCGCTTATCCTCTAGATTAACTGTAGCATCGAAATGCTTCCACGCTGTTCTTGTAGGTGAGATCACTACGAGCCTTAAGTACCCAACACGTAACGATATACCATAAAAAAATCTTGAATTTTATTTGTTCGAGTTACCACCTAAAGGATCGCTGAGACAGGTATCGTTACTGTCATTTACCTATGGCATTTCTAGCTAGGAGGAACTTGGTTAAGGGACTTTTTTGAAGCGTTCAAGGGTTCTCCAGTAAAGGGAGGTATGCCGGGTCCCCCTGTCTTTTGGAGTGATTTGTCATGATTCATAGATTCCATACCTTGTCGAGCGAGTAAATAGATCGAAGACAATGATTCCGATATCTTGACCGCTGTGTTCTTGGAACTCTGGATGGACTGCCATCGGAATCAGGCGCAATCGAGCTCATAACTTTCAAGCGAAGGGCAGAAGGGAGAAGGCAAACTTTCTGAGAGACAGCCGGATACTATATAAGTTTGAACTGATGACATGCGACAGGAGGAATCGATTTTGGATAGTCAGAACACAAAAAGGAAATGAGCGCTGTTCACCGTTAGAGCACACGGGAAATCACCAATGGTCTAGACCATTTATTAGTCTTGTGTAAATGATCCAAGCCCTACCGTCCTTATCACTAAAAGTTTTGCCTCTGTGGCATAGTGCACAATAGGGGCCTCAGAATTGACTTTGGAATTGTGAAGGTCTGTGGTAGTCTTCTGGAAAGTCTGATTCGCGCATTGGTGCCTTGACAGAAAACATATAACAGTTGTTGCTGCTTGTGATATGCTGTCGGAATTAACTGGCGCACATGATTGCGCAAGCTTTCTACCTAATGGCCGTAAACGAAATTTAGGCGTGGCCTTATTTTTACCATGTGCCTTGGAATTTTTGAGGCGCGTCAACAACCTAACTCATGAGACGGCATGTAAAACTGGTTCCATCGTACTGCGGATATGCACGGGAGCAATGAAAGCATTTCTGCCTAGAGTTATTGTAAGCACGGAGCTCTGCCTTCAAGTGCCATAGAAGCGCTTAATCAGCCCGTTAGATCCTCGAATGCAAAATGTCGTGCATCTACTTCTGGCAGCTAAATTATCCAAAAGAAATCAAAACATGTCCCGTAGGTGTGACATATGAGTTGTAGTAATACTGTGGAGAAATTTGTGGTGCGACCTGGAGTTCGATGGCTTCTGCAACGTACATAACTGAATGCACAATGCAGCCTATGCACCTCGTGGTGTGATGGTTACCTTTATATTGTGTAAGGGTCCGACTGAGTCAACATGCAACTGATGAAATCGCGCACATGTATTTAAAACAAACCAGGAGGATAATTTGTGTATGAAGCGTTCTCACGTGCTTGCACTAAACGTGGGTTGCAGACGGATTACGATGCTTACATTTAGTCAATTGCAACCTTCGGCAAGTTTTCACACGGCTGAACATGTAGCAGGATAACTGACACTATGTGGCCGAAATCTGGTAGTGAAGTTAGCCCTGTCGAAATGTCACCAAAAATTGTTCCGTTTTATGACTTCTATGAAAAGACCTCGGCATGAGCAGAGGGCGGACCTTGAACCCTCCAAATTTTTCGGCCATACTTCTGTGAGGTAGTCATTGCCACAAGACCCGTGCTAGAAGTAGTAACCAGCACGTGCACTTGTGATAGATCATTAGAAAGATTAAAGAACTCCAGGAGCATGGATCACGCCATTAGTCTCGGTAAAAAAAACTCTGAGAAGTAAACCTGTAGCCTTAAATGAGGCACAGCGGACGACGGTGAATTTGAGACCTTGAAGCAATTGGTGAAAACGTTTGAAGCGAATGTAGCCAGCTAGTGGCCGATGACCAGGGATGCTGCACTCCGGCTTAGCTGACCAAAGTCACCTAGCAAAGCAGACCAACGGATCCTATTTACTTCCGCCCGTTGCTGCAGGATATTACAAATGGCCACGGCAAAGACATTAGTAGCGGGCGGCCATGGGAAGATGACGTCATGGTGGACCGTGCGGGAGAAATGAATGCATGATGATTTAAGAAAATAACGGCTGGGTGGGTAAATCCTTCGCACTTTTCTTTACGTCGGTTGATGCGGGACCACATCAAGTACGCACGGTGGGGAATGAAAAGATGGTAAAAGCTCATCGCATTACCAAGTAACCGTAATCCTTTGAAAGAGGCTGTTGTAGGCTAACGTGCCGAGCCTACTGGGCAGTGGCTCGATGCATGCGGTACAAGCATCGTGGCCTGAAGATGTCACTTCGACGAAGCCGACTGCCCGTTCTGTCACGTTGCTGATAGCGTCTTTTAAAGAAAGGCGTGGAGTACATTCAGATATTAACGATTTTTCTCCACTGAACCCCTTATTACAAGTGTGTCACAACGCCAAGTTCATAATCTCTCAAACCCTTAGACAGACCCGATCTATAGAGCGTTGTGTGTTCTGCTTGCCATTATCGAGACCGAATGGTATTCGAATAGATTCCAAAGCGTAAAGCTGTTCGGTAACGGTCGCCTTCGGAGCGTCGGCTCCGGAACATTAGCTCCGGTTGTATGCATGCACCAGTCGACCGTGCATATTCTCAACCCGAGGCGCCTGCAGTCCAGTTCTGGGCGTGTATAATTGGGTATCGATCCGGAGTGGCGATGTATATGGAGGGTGGCAATCGCCATGCAGCCCCGAGCTGCAATGGTCTTCTGAGTGGACATATGCGTAGTTGATAATAATGAAAGTAGTAAATCTGTAGGGTCGTATAGCTGTCATGACATCCGAAGGAACCAGGGGGTGATGCAAATCGGCTATTGGACGGATGGCCCAGGTCTAAATGTGTCTTCAAGCTCGGAGTTATCCATGCGTAGCTCGTTGAGTGCTAGCCATCTGAATGCATCGGAACGATGTGCCAGTTGTCAGATTTGACGAGCCGCACCTGCGGTAGGTGGTAGCAACTCTATGGGCGGTCGGTAGTTGCTAGGGCGCCTGCGCAGGAGTCGTTAAAGCCTGTTCGAACACGAGAGCTGGATCACAGAGGAGGTGCTCGAAGACCTTTAAAGGCCACCCTAGGTTTGCGGTTGACAGGTTGATCTTGATGAGTGTCAACTGGGTTGCTGAGGGCTTTGCAACTTTTTTGACGGTACTTAGGTCTCTCCTCCCACTATGGAATATCATATGCAAAGTGGCTTGAGGCAGCCTTTCTTGGGGAAAAAGAATAATGAAACTGTATTTATGGTGTCATTATAAAGTATTCTACACTGAACTCCTTATGGGTCTGAGAAACATCGAACTATAGATTCTCGATCCGGATTGGCTCACATTCCGATCAATCGAGGATGCCTTTGTACGGTCCGTAGGCCGCATCCCACACCGTCTAATAGGTCTGCTGTTAGGTAATTAAAATTGGCCGGCCTCTGGATTGGGTCCCCGTGACCCCGCCTGCGCTTGACTAGAGACGTTGCAAAAATTGGCAACTGATCGGCTTCGATGGCAATCGTGCTACCGATCTCTTTCCAGGTGGCCCGCTGGAGGCCTTGTAATACCATCTGTGGGTCAGTACGAGGTGTCCTCCTCTTTTCTTTTGATTCTAAAGCTTTCTATGTAATTAAATGAGCTTTTTGGCAGTGAAGCACTAGTGTCGACACAGGTTGCTGATGATGACGAAGATTTTGGGCGGTGATTGTGATGGAGTAGTAGGGCTGATGCTATAACCACAACCGCGTAAATGATTTCTTGTTAGTTCGTCACATACAAACTGGACCGGCATGATAAATACCTCATTTTCGACTGTATAGTTATACTTTAGGTAGCGCTTTAGGTATCGCTGATTTGTGTCAACAACACTCGTCACATGCATGTAGAGACCATGTAAGCCGCTGGGGATTATATTTAGAATTCCTTACACTTTACGCAAAGACGGATATCGACTAAAACAAACACTTAAAAACACTATTGCAGTGCATATAAACCAAATTAAGGTTCTATTTATTATTACAATTTTACGGGACCTTTCATGAACTCCTTATAGGTCACAAAAATGAAGAATCGAAAAGTTGTGTTGATAGTGGTATTCGAGTAGTAGTGAGAGGTGTTTCTAAGCCGCCTGAAATTTGTGGTCTTTGAGTTTTTTCCTAGTTTGCGTCAAATGCTGGCTGACGACTTTGGGGTTTCGTTCCATAATTTTTTCGATATGGTAGCCGATTTCAGTGGCGTTCATGCAGTCAGTTTCTGTCCAGTTTTGGAGTTTTAGGCACTTCGGATATCTGATGGCCTATTCCTAGGCTCCATTTCCTTTACGATTCTTCCATGAATCACAAGGCCTTATTCTCATAAACTGATATGACTGTATAGCAGTGAGGCACCGAGCTCGGAAGATCCGTAGTTCGAACCCACCCTCAATCGCGACTGTTCCTGTTTAGGCCTGTGCAACTTAACAGTATCCCCAGCCCCGTGCATCATTGCGTTGAGCTGGCAGCTGGACACCCAAAGGGTGCTATATCTAAACGAGTGGAGCACCAGTTTTCTTGTGTTACTGTTAGTGATGATGATAATGAGTAGAAACCTGTGCATCGCGCTATCTTACCACGATCCACCTCTATGTTTGGCAAATGTTCATGCCTCTTAGAAGCAGTCGGTAATAATAATATTAATGTTGATATTAATATTAATACTAACATAGTTCCACTGCATTTTGTTAGCAATGAACCATTCAGAAATCGCAGCTATGCATTGAAGACGATAACTTCAGTACAGGAGCGGCACTGGTTGCGTAGTTGATCCATGCTTATCATGAATCACTGATAAGTTGAACTCCGAGAGAGTCACCACTTCCATCGCTGTAGAGTTTCTTCCCAAAACCATCTGACGTACCTCAGCATTGCCAATACAATGGTGCCCGCGGACTCGGTCAACGGGTCGGAGACAGCGACGGTCAAACACTTGGTGCATGTTTCTGATCCGTGCAGGATTATAAGTTGCTTTGACACGCTGCATGCTCTGCCCGTCACAAACAAGCGTGACGCTGAATTTTGGAGGTTTTCAAGAGCTGCAATAGGCTGTCCGATTCAAGAGGTCATGTAGTCTGCATCCAGTCCACCGGAGTTAATACAGCTGCTCAATCAGGTTATTTTATATACCACTGATTGGCCAGTCTACACACACATGAGGTTTGTGTCTGACCACATGCAGTGCCTTTTACTTCGCAGATTTCGAGCGCATGCCAAATCGTACGGAATGATTAGTTCGGATATTTAGGATGGATTGCACCTATAAGGGACCTAAACCAAGGAGAGCAATATCGTCCGCGTACACAATAATTGTGAGAGAACACCCGAGGAGCATTTAGGTTTCCAGTTTTAAAAGTAAGACACGTCAGTAACAAAGATGAAGTAAAAGAGACGATGAGAGAACAGGCACTGAACGTGGCAAACTGAGATGATAACTTACTGCATGCAGACGCGCGCCCACATGAATTCGCATACAGTACCCTTACGATAGGTAAAAATATAGAAGGAAAACTTTTAATCGTCAGAAATTGTCGTCGTTTCTGGCAACCGACAGACTCAAGCAGCTTTCAAATCAAAGAAAGCGGTATCTTCAGTACGTGGTCGATCGAGACAAAACCCAAATTTGTTCTCAAAAATCGGTCTCGTAATCGATCAGCTTGTGTAAAATAATGCATCTTTGGTGCTGTGGCTGCCGGGTGGTGTGTTCTTATGCTCGTCATAAAGATTGGAGTCACGGTCTAAGAACTGGAGACGGCTCAGTGGTTAAGGATCCGTTGTTCAAACCCAACCTTGGCATCCCGATTGCTTCAGTCTAGGTTGGGTAGCCTGGCGGTATCCCAGTCCCCGTACTTCCTTCTAGTTGCATGACAGGAGTTTTGCAGCTAAACGGTTATTATTTTTACTATTTTATCTTAGCGCACCACTTCAGCGATATTATGACTTCGTTCCAAATCTTCCGTAGTATACTTGTCAAATTGTCTACCAGATTTTGGCCTTCCTTGAATAGTGCAGAGTGCAGGCGACCTGGACAGGATACTTTGTCGCATTGGAGGAATGATATCTTGCGATGAATCTCCGTTTCTGATGGCGGGCCGCTATCGATATACCATTCGGGTCCTTTGAATTCTTCTGGGTGTGTGCTGAAGGTCCTGTCTAGGTGTGGACGACCTGACAGTATCCCAGCTCACTTATAACCATGAACTGCACATATACAAATAGACTTGCCACATCGGGCGTCGCGTGATGCTATCATCCGGGTCGCCTTACTCGCTGCATACAGAATGTCGGGTAGGCGAAAACGGGTCACTACTGACCCCTCCCTTCTTTCTCTTCCCTATACTTTTTCTTCCCCCTCTCCCCACCCCATTAATAACTCTCCTGCTGTAAATCCAGCGCTTACGACTGATGACTCCGTTCGTCTTGCATCAGTTTTGCGTGCAGTATCTGCTCGTCACATAGCGCCGACATCCTCAAGTATCTCCAAATCAAGTCTCGACACCCAGTTTATCTGGCCGATTTCAATATCCGCACTCTGAAGCAAACAGGACGACAAGCTACTTTTGCTCTCACACTGGACCCGATTGGCATTGATGTGTGTTGTGTCCCGTGCACTTCGACCACGAATGCAAGTCCGGAGTCGCTTCTCCATATGTTTTTCAGGGCCGCGTAAGACGAACTCATCAAAATCGTCTTCTCAAGTCTTCCAAATGTCCAACTATCAGATGTGAACTCACATTGAGAGGAGATTACCACTTCTTTGCATAATGCTGGAAATTTTGCCTGTGGCACGGCACTACCAGGCGAACTCAAGTACTGGACATCAGACCGAACGGTAGTACTGCTTAAATCGTGGAGAAATATTCCAGCCGGCCCGGAACATAACTTGATGCGACCAATTATCAGACGTCAGGTGATGATGAGCTTGCAAGCCGACCATGAAGTGTGGTGGACACAGAAAACCAAAGAAATAAAAGAGGCCCAGAAAGCCGGTAATGCCCGAAGATCGTTTCAGCTGATCCGTGCGACCGGACCCCGGAGACCACCTGTGAGTGGAACCATCAAGCATTAGAATAGAACGACCATCTTGAATAAAGAAGAACGCCTCAAACAACAACTGTCGTGGCCACCAGCTGCCACTCATCTAGAGCCCACAGGTGAAGTAGAACCCTGTACGGTAAGCGTTGAACCACGTACGACCTCGGAGGTTTATGACTACATATGTCCTCTTAAACGCCACCGAGCCTCTGGTCCATATAACTTCCCACCCGCACCGCTCAAAGACGGGAGTGAAGTCCTCAGTCAGCGCTTGTCTGATCTGTTTGCTTGTATTTGGGAAAAAGAGCCTATCCCAGACAACTGGGGAGAATCGGTGATAGTGCCCGTTCTCAAAAAAGGGGCGCCTAGTGAGGGTGGTAACCACAGAGGGATCAGCTTGACCCCGGTCGTAACGGGACTGTTGGCGTCACTTGTGTTTCGTCGCCTTACGGTGGCTCGTGAGATACTGACCCCTATACGTATCGCTTATGCGCCATACGTATAAGCGATCCGCACTTCTAGTGTTCCTGGATTTCCAAGGTGCATTCGACTCGGTTGATCGGTCTGTTCTGCTTGACAGGCTTGCCCACCAAGTAATGTCCCGGAAGTTCGTGAACATAATAAGCCCTCTGTATTCCCAGACTTTCGGACGTGTAAGCGTGTATGGAGAGCTCTCCAAAAGCTTCCTGACACAAAGCGGTGTCCGCCAGGGATGCCCACCCTCCCAGTTCGTGTTTAACCTTGTGATCGATGAACACGACGAACGCTGAAAAGTTTCCACAACCCCGGTGACGGAAACCTTGTCGACCTGGAATATGCAGGCGACATTGTTCTCATAGTCGAAGAGAAGGAGAAGTCAGGAGTGTTTTTGGTTGAATTGATCAAAGTCATCCCGTCCTTGGGTATGCACTTTGCACCCACAGTGGAACGTCATGCTCATGGACATGCAGTCACTTAACACGCCACTTACAATCCAGGGAGAGTTACTGGAAGTTGTGGAGCGTTTTACGTATCTTGGAGTTGTATTAGTTCTGATTGTAGTGTGACAGATGAGGTGAATGCACGAATCCGCAAGACTCGGGCCGCGTTCGCTAAACTGAGACACCTATGGCGTCAGAGTGGTTTTATCCCTGATCTGAAGGGACGTGTGTATCAAGTTACAGCACGGGCTGTTTTGTTGTATGGCTGTGAGACTTGGCCTATTCGAGCAGCGGAACTGAGACGTCTTCAGGTGTTCGACAATCGTTGTCTCAGAACCATAGCTCGTGTGGGTTGGTGTCGGCGAATCCGTCAGCAGGCAGTTAGAAAGTGTATTTTCGGTTATGTAACGGATACTTCCATTGAAGAATGTGTCAAGTACCAGAAGCTGTGTTGGTCGGGACATGTGTTGCGTATGCCGAATCACCGTTTGCCGAGGAGGGTGCTGTTTTCGATGCCCAATTCAGAGTGACAGAAGCAGAAATGTGGCCAACGCTTGACCTGGCAGAGGGGTATGAGAGAAATCACGAAACGTTTGGGTGCTGTATGTGCTACTCGCCTTCCAGGGTGGGTCACTGTACATTCCATGATAATTGACTGCTTCCCATCTCTTTCCTTTGAATAATGACACTATAGCAGAATGCTAGTGGTGCTGCTGAACATTCTCTGCTTTTCATATTGAACTGATAATATGGAGAAGTTTATCTTGTAGTCCTTGACCACCAACCACTTGCAGGTAGGTGCGCGATCTGCCATTTGCACAGGCCTCCACGTTTCGTACTTGCGAAAATGCTGCAAGAGGATCGTCCATATAGTTTTCCTCCTCACGTTGTAGTTGGTTCGGTTGATCCCGTCCTATTTGCGACGAATGGCTGAGTCACCCACATGGTCAACAAATCCTCATGTTTTGAGCTTCTGGTCGGACTGAATATCTTGAGAAAGTTTCAGCCATTAGGTTTAACTCCGTAAATTTCTCCATATGCTTCGGAGAAATCGTTATGATACAAAAATTTTCATACGTCTGAATTTCCCCACTGAATTTAACCTGCCATCGACTCCTCGGTGTTTCATATCTGGTGTATTTGGTTTTCAGTCACTAACCCTTAGTTTCTGTATTACAGCTTGCCTAACTTGTCGGTTACTGTGGTTCTCTTGTTTGAGAGCGTATACTTACTAGCATACAAGAGCCGATCCGCAAAATTTTAGACTGATGGGCCATGTTTACTCAACCTATCGTGACCCAAAATCGATGCCCGACATTGTGAAAGGACCAATGTTTGATCAACTACAAGGATTTCCGAATGGCAGGAAAAAGCGAGTATCAGTGGTAGGTTCAACTGACACTGTTTTACAGTTGCTGTGACGTTGTACTTAATCCTTATGACTGTCCTCCCCCCTTCCCCGCTATGGGGACTAGTTGCATATACAACCCGTGACAAAATATACATAAGGTTGACAGAAACTCGGAGAATGTGCCTACCTGATGAGCCACAAGAATGGCGAAACAGGCTGTCGAAGAGTTTTCAGGAACCTCAAGAATAGTGTATCACGGCTGTTTATTCACTGTTTTGCTACCGCCATTCCTGAAGAACTTCAACTTTGAAGAAATTAAGCAAGGCAAAAGAGGCGTCCATGTGCCGAAATTGAATTTCCAAAGGTCACATGAAGTGCCCAAATCAGAATCTAAGTAACGACCCTGACTTCGCTTAGATCACTTAGCTCACATGTTTTTCCTTGTGGAAGTCACATCTGCCCAACTACAAGCTAATGAGAAGTGAAAGGCTCAAATTTCCTTTTCAATGTGTATCATCCGTTTTCTCGTTTAGGAATGCGCTGCCAGATGATAGCCCAGTTTTTCCTATCGGTTAGCTAAAAGCTGCGAAAGCAAAGCTCAGTATAACCATTTTGTTAGTACCGATGGGAATACAACAGACTATGCCTGACTACCACATTCTCCCAGAAGTGCTTCATTTGGGCGCCATCCATAAGTTTGGATTGTAGATTGGATCTTGTGTAAATCAGTCAACTACTGGAGGGTTAGGACAAGGTGACCACAGACTGGATTCACCAGTCATTTGTGTTAGCGACGAACTGTCGATTTATAAATAGCATGGTCACTTTTAGGTTTACCTTTTCTTGGGTGATGCATTGGTGTAAATTTTTTCGATTTCTTTTGCGTAACCTCTCTAGAAAATCGATTACCTATTCTCTGTTTCGTTACGTAAGATCCATATTGCGAGAACTCGTAATCCAGGGCTGAAGATTACCTAGTTTTTCTGTGTATAGAATGACGTATTTTCCTTTTAGTTTACTAAATTAGTCGCACTAGGAACTCCAGCAAGATACCATGCCTGGCGCCAAAGTTCTAGTACTGTCTTTTTTCACCATCGCACTGCTGAGAGATGTAGTGGAGTGATTATTGATTAGCATCGGACGGATGCTACCAGGAGATGCAGGAACGCTTGCTCTAAGGAAATTTGGAAAATTAGCGCGATAGAACTATAGACCCACCTAATGGCGCCTCTTCGTCCAGAAAGTTCCCAAAGACACGCTACATCCCATTACTTCCACAACATTATGTCTTTCTGTATTGTGCTTCACAAAAGTGTCTGAATGAAATTTTCAATAATGCTTCCTAATTCACAGTTTGGAGCAGACAGTTGTGTCATTTCTTACACTGAATGTTGCAATATTTCCCAGTTTCTCATCCAGCTTGGAATTAAAGTGATCAGTCGGTGGGTCCACTATATCCACGTGCGTAGCGGGAACTTTCCTCGTTAACCAGATTTGTGGATCTATATGTTTTCTTGCTGAAGTACGCGATCCTCCTATCTACTTGAGCTAGCGACAGTATTTGTCTCCCATTTAAAAGCCGCAATCGAAACTAAAAGCTCCTCGGTGTACGGATGCCGGTGTCACCATCGGCCCCGTTGACAGACCGACGTAAGTTGGAAAATTGCCGGGACATCTCTGTGAAAGCTTTCCCGGTGGGACGGTACTGGATCCTGTTCGCATAATGGTGTTGCAACTGTATTGCAATTGACTGTTTCTGGACGGTTCCTTTTCGAAGCATTCCTCTAAATGTTCTGTTTGTGTGGTCACCAGGACTGACCATTATCCCTGGGCGAACGAAAATCCTGTGTGAGAATGGAGCCCTCGTCAGTTTCTATCCAGATTGGACGAATGTTTGGTGCTGCTCACATGGCTCTTGTATTGTTGCGCAGTGGAAGTGCACTGGGACCATATGGTACTTAATAGTAGCAAGTTGCTGAACCTCATTTCTCGCACTTCAAGGAAGGACTGCTGCGTCAGAAGTCGGATTCCTTGGTGGTTTGTGGTTGGATTTACTCTCCTACCCTAACGTCGTTCTTCTGGTCGGTCCGTAATGGTGATGGGTTATGAGCTTAGAGTCCTTCCTCATTCGAGGTCACCAGTTGTACAGGCTAACGGTATTGCTGCGGGGTAGGGGTGGATATCGGTCGTTAAACGTACAAACTGAGTGGATTACCTCTACCTCACCATGGGGGACACTGGTTGCGTCTGAATGATGCCTATGTGATATACGTCGTTCATCAGATGTCCGGGACGATCACATTAGCTGTCCTATTCGTTCTTATCGATTGCTCACTTAGTGTTGACGTCTCACGTAGGCCGTAACTCTGCTAGAAACTTTTGACCGTTAGTAAATTGCTGCTAGATCGATTCATATGAGAAGAATGGAAAACTGATCTTCAGGGTGCGTCAACCAGCATGTTGGTGTCCGGTCAGGAAGGAGACTGTTAAGTGGAATATAATATGCGGTGCGGAGATGAAACACGGGTGGAGGGCGTATTGTGCCTCCTAATTTTCTCGCTAGTTGTTATTGTGAATTTGTTCTTTAGGCTATCCATTTTTCTCTTCTCGCCTTCACTTCTTCGCACAGGTAACTGAAGAGGAAATGATCGCTGCTGGCCTCAAACCACATGAACGCGACTACTGTGCACACACGTTGATTGCGTTCAGAAAATGTAGGGCCGAGAACTTCTTTTCCGTGATAACGTGCGCAAAGCTCAAGCATATTAATTTGCATTGTCATGAATCCGATCGACTGCTGCGGCGAAAGGAATATGAACGTGAAAGACGCCTTTTGGCCAAGCAAAATGAAACTCAGTGACTTTGTCGCCCTATTAGTGTTTCCTCTCTGCATTATTTGAATACATAGAATACGTATGTTCACTACTCCACTTCCAATATTAGGTTGATCCAAAACTGACTGTGTAACTTCTTGCTTCAAGGCTTTATGGAACATCTCAGCGGTTCAACAATTATTGAACCTCAGGTCAGACTCGGCTTGATCCTGCAAACCGTCTAGTCCAATACGGGAAACGGTTCGGACGCACGAACTAACATTCACTCTTCATATTTTTTGTTAGGATATTACCATTGGATACCACAACACTGCTCCATAATGTACAAGTTCTGTAAATTCATGACATCGGCTGTCACACACGTGAGCTGGGCAACTTATGTATGCTTTAGTTAATCAGGTTATGAGACGCTGAGTTTGAGCGAGAAAGGTTGAATGATATCGTTCGAATTCCCATACCATGTGTAATTTGCCTGTCCGTTCTATCTATCTAGCCGATTCCTTCAAATCGCCATTCAAGTTGTTTGTGGAACTGTTCAGCTTTGACTCTACTCATAAGGTTGCTGAGAACTCTTCGACAGCTAGCGATCTCATGGGTAGCATATTACGTTTATTTAATGTATTGCGATATCTGGAATATCTTACCAACTGAAGCATGAGGCGGCCTGGTGCAGCATGTTCAGTTGAAGAACAACATCATAAACAGGAGGTTCAGCTGGGTTCCAAGGCACATTTCTTGTCAAAACCAAATCTGTATGCAGATGACTAGTTTTTGTTCCCCACCTTGCACTCGAGGTGTGATCTGATATGCGGGACACTTTTCCCACGATTAGAAACGAATTAGTTTGATCATATCCGGGTGAATTATTAAGTGTTCTACTTAGTGTATCTTAGCACGTTTCTCTTTGTTGTTATTTTTGAAAAAAAAAGAGTAGCAAGACTTTCTCACCACAGGTGTGTTCAAGGAAAGCGAGATAGAACTTTCATTTACCTGAAAAAGTTCGCCCCATACCTTACGAGTGAGTTTATTATGATTTCGAATAACCTCCACAGTGGGTCTAATACTGAAATCAGAACGAATCGAACAATTCTGGTGACTTCTCACCATGTGTTTGTGGCTCAGAAACGCCTCCAAGCACTTGAGTGAGTAAGTTTACCAGTCATCTCATCTCTTGTACTGCGTACGTACCTTCGTTTGTTGTGTGGCATCACATCAATTGAAGAAGTGGAAGACCAAATTTCGCGGATTGTAAGAGATAGGTAGACACTGGTCGATTCCGACAGCGACGTGATGCCGCGTGCAGTCCTAAAATATGACTGTGGAACTTGGTCGACCCGTACCAAAGATAGCTGTTAGCTAACTGTCTTCGAGTGCTGTCGCTGGAGTCTGTATCTGACGCCTAACGAAGAGTTATCTGTGTTCGTCTCCCGTGTTCACACTTCGGAGACCCTCATTTCGCTACACTGATTGGGCATGGTTAGGGCGTGTCAGCGAACCATCTGCGGTTTCGTTAATCCAAGCGACCCCCAACTGATCCTGTTGAATTTGTCCTCGGGATCCCAACGTAAAGGAAAGGCCCAATGGGCTACGGTTATCAGTGCAAACTACACCATGCCCTTATCAAGTGTCCATAAGAATGGTGAAAAAGTTCAGAACAACACTTGAATCCTCTGAAGTGTGAAATTTCATCGCATAGGTTAAACCGAAAATTCACATCGGTTTTGGGCTTAGTCGTTTATGGAGCAAGTTGATACTTGCTCCTGGTCAGATCCACTCACACTACTACACTTTAAGCCCAGTAGGCTCGAGGCTCACATAAGTAATCACCCAACGGTGGACAATCGCGACGAGGACCACAACCCTCACTGGTTCATCAATCCTCTCAAGTGATCTTGGGGTCGCTCAGGCATTCAAACAATCGCCACGACTTTTAGTGCGTCGAGACTTGTTAATTATGTCACCTGTGTTAATCATGCATCGACCTTAGTGAACTTGGGTTGGAGAATTCCGCTTCTCTCCTCGAGAAGTATGAATGAACCACACCTTCTTCGTTGAGTACTGCTGAGTTTCGTGTATTCTTACATTAAATCCGTTCGCCAGCGCAGCACATGTTGGTGTTCAGTAAGCCAAGTATGGTTCAATTTGCATGTCTTTAAATCTCGGGTTCACGCTTCTTGACACATCAGTCAGTCAGGTGTTATCGGGCTCCTTTCTCAGATATGTTCATTATCGCAATGGAGCCATTAACTCTAACTTCATTTTACTTTAAACAGTTAATATTAATTATGTTAGGAGCACTTGCTTTGTTGATTTATGGTTACTGTAATAAGGCGTACAAGCTGATACTGCTTTGCCGGACTTCATTTTTCTCGAAAGCCGTGGTAGTTTAGGATGCTTTTTATCATCGGTTAATATGCCACCTATTGCCCCCTCACAGGGTGATAAAGTTGGTCAGAAAAAATATTCCATCTCATGCGATGTCTGTGGACGGCCCGGTGTCCGTCTTTTAGAGGAAGCGTTGTTCGTTAGTCGAAATATACTTTGGTGTTGATTACACCACTGGTCTACAAATTAACTGTCTTTAATCTTCCTATCGTGAGACCTCCCAAACGATGGAGAAAAACGGTAACTTTGTAAGGGTTCCGCGCATTTATTAGAAAGAGGGGTGACACCCGCTTTGCCATAAATGCATGTTTCCAACCGTGTGTAGCTCGAATACCTGGTATCCATCTGATATCCGTAAGAGACCACCATTCTCTCATGCACCGTGGGAGGTTACAGGTGAAACTGTGACTAGGCGCAACCACCGATCATCTTTTAAACCAAGTCATATGTTGCTCACTTTAACTACCGTTTGTGTGCATTTTGGGATAGAGCACCTACTCAGCCATATAACAAAGCACATTTGTCCTTCAAGCAAGATAATACAACCTTGATAAACACAACATTGAAAATACGAGAGTCCTGTATTCTTCGGGGAAAAATCTATTACTTCAGTGTATTTCCCTTCATGAGGGAATAATCTTTCAAGTACGGAACTTTTTAACAATACAATGTTACTCTCTTGTAGTTGACTGCCGGAAACTATATAGGGAACAGTTTCTTGTCCTCCAAGTGACCATTTCAGTACCAGAGAAATGGCATTCGAATGGCCTTGCTTACCTAGCGGATTGTCGCAGACTATCTATATCACTAACACTGTACTTCGTTATCCATGGTGCCAGCGGGCTCTTCTAGACACCACTTCCTTTAACCTGATCACTAGTTTCGCATGGCAGCATTTTGAAACATCCTGCACGTTTATAGTAAGAATTAAATACATACGACAGAAAATAGCATGAATTTCACGAATCGTGAGTCTCCGTTAGTCGAGTTTCTAGTACAACTGCCTGCATGATGGCCCTCTCATTCAACTGGTTAATTCTGAAATATATTCTGTAGGGAAGGTTTGGTTGTATTGGTTGTATTAACTTCACTCACGTTCGGATGGTCCTGTCTTCTTGAGATTGTTCCGGTTAGTCAGCATCAAACTCGAGGAGCTTTGGAATCGAGTTTCGCTCTTATTAGTGCGCATCACCAGTGAGTATTATTGATTGTGCTGTTTCAGCCTCAGGTTTCTGACATAGCGGGCGAGCGTGTTGCCGTCGCTTCACGTCTGAACGCGTCCCCCCTCGAGAGGTGTAATTGATTGGCGATCCATGTGTACCAGTTTGCCTAAATAGCTCTGCACACACTAACCAGTAGTGGTATCGCGCACTTAAAGGGGAATAATCAGATCAATTCTGAGGAGCATAGTATGATGAAATGGTGTACTATCGAAGGGACCGATCCTCAAGACATACTTTTCTGTGGTGCAATTTTCTAGCTGAATTCTCGCGCACGCATGCGCTCGTCTTCTCCTGAGCAATACCTATCAGTGTACAAATAAGCTCCTCTCGGGCAAACAAACACTTGTTGTCTGGGGTTAAAGTTAAAAAACAATTGGTTACTCGCCGTCCGATGAGTTTCCACTAATGATGGCGGTTATTTTTGCTACCCTTGGTTAAAATCATCTTGTCTTTTGTTTATTTTCCAGTCTAAGTATGTAGCACGTCACTCCCGTTTGAGTAGATCCTCTTTTATGATGCTGCGATTGCTTCGGCGCCCGACTTGAGTTTAACTGTCATGGAGCTCATCAACACTGCATACCTCTAACCATACTGAAACTTGCATTATTGTTGTGAAGCGAGCGCGTCACCACTAATTCATAAGCATTCGATGGGTGTATTTTTATTTCACTAGAAGAGATACCATAGAATACGTAGTTTCTGTTTTATCCGTTGTGAAAATCTCATACTGATTTTATCTGTGTCAAAATCAGTAGAGACGCTGAAACTTGTCACTTTAACAGACAAGTCGCGGCAATTCTGTAGCAATATTCTGACTGCTTTTTGCAAGGAAAGAACGGTCGTATCCATGGGCCCGCGGATGGATGCCTCAAATAGGACGCCTACTGACCTTTCCATTGATTCATAAAGTCTGTCGATGAGGGTCTTCCGACAAAAAGTCAACAACCATGCGTGATATGTTACGGCCGAAGCGGGTTATAGACACTACTTGTTCGCGTAACAGGCTTGACAACTGATGCGCTATCATTACCACAGTAGTTCCGGTTCACTATCGTCTGCTGTTGTTGATGCTACGCCAACTAAATACTGATTCTGAATGTCAAGGTGAATTACAATATGATTTTTATGCTCTGTGTACGACTTAAACATAGGCGTTGAGTTCCGAACAGATCGTATTAGAACTTATCTGGTTATCAAAATGGAAGCACGTGGTTTGGCGTTTGTGAAAGGCCTTTGCACCGCTTTCCGCCAGAATAACCTCCAAGGAAATGTCGCATTCTATTAGAGACGACGGCCTACTTCAGCGAACCTGGTTATTGAAAAAGCAACCCATTCACCGAGTGGAGGATATCATCTCGTGGAAGTCATCCTGTTTACTCCTGCAGAAGATTCGGGGTAATGTGTCCAAATGAAATCTTAGTTGATTCACCTAATCCAGAATCGGATTTCGTATGTATCTGGCCCATCTGGTATGTAAATCGCAATGTTAGATCTTTCTTTGACACTGGATTTTGGAATGAACAGAACAGCTTGTGCTTCATAATGATCGGCTTCAGGTTTGGTGGGAGCAAGTATTTCGTCTCGAAACACACGTGACTCAAAA